GTTATTTCATCATGAATGACCTTCAAGAACAAGCTCATTTAATATGCTATTAAAATCATCTCAATAATGAGTCCATCCTTTCCATCTTTAGGTAGCACAACATCTTTCATTGAAGAAGGTTCGACAAGTCTTATGTTAAACTTACTGACAAAGTTTGTTATACTATAATGCTTCGGTGGCGAATACATGTAGTTTGAAAGACATAATATAGATTCTTCAGCAAATTCACTTATACTGGATTTTATAACAATGTTCTCACGAGACCAAATACCACCAATTGACAATCTTGTAAGCAATCCTGCTGAACCTTCTACTGTAAACGTCGATGGTAACATTCCACGAAGGTCATCTATTGACATCTTTGAGTCACTGAATTTAAATATTTTCTTAAAGCAATCGTCATTATCTAACCATGCAATAGCTTTGAAGTTTTCATTCGAATATACATCTGCTTCATTAAATGTAAAACCTGACTTCTTTGCAGAGACGACTTTAAAATCTATTGCATTTGTTTCAAAATTATATACTATGGTAACTTCTGAAGGTAATGGATGTCCTTCCGCAGTCAGTTGTTCTCTCACTACCGTTTGAAGCTTTGTGTTAAAAACTTTCATGTCATCTCCTGTGTCTAGGTTCACATACACAGCAACAGGAAAACTATCTTGCTTCTTTGTTTCATCATTATACCTCAAAACATTAAAGTTCTTCAATAATATTGTTCTTCCTGCTGGAATACTTCTAACTTGTCTTATTTCAATAGCTTTCTCACCTCCTACATACTCTACCCAGTGTCTTGGATATTCATAAGTATACTGACTTTCTTGAATTTTGGTAGGTTTCATCATAACGTGTTCATAGTATATCTTTATACTCTTGTCAGTTAGACTCGGTGCTATGTTCTGAATATTTCTGACTTGCATTTTTAATGAGATAAAATGAAGCATTTAATACATGACGTAGATGAAGACATGAATGAAAGCAGTGAAAAGCTCAACAGTTCTCTCATTCTTCCTTTCAGTAAGGACTATGAGTTCTGTTCAAATGGTGTGTATTTCTATTGTGGAAAGATGGGTTCAGGTAAGACATTTAACCTCATTCGTCATATACTCATAACAGAGCGTTTAGGAAACGACTCTTACTATGACCAAATCATTATATCAGCAACTTCAGACTCTATGGATTCAACAGCGAAAACATTTATGTCAAAAGTTCAAGCCTCTGTCGTTAAAGTTCCAGATAGCGAACTCATTGAATTTCTTCAACGTTACATTCGACGTAAGAGGAAATATTATGCCATCGTTGAATTTATACAGTCAGGAATGCAAAAGACTTCTGAGGAGATGGAAAGAATTATTGACAAACACCACTTACGTCAATACTCAGGAGTTTACGATATGAAACGACTGACAAACTACATTCTATCAAAACTTTCAAAATACCCCTTCAAAAAGTATCCTTCAAACACTCTGCTCGTTTGTGACGACTTCGCCGGAAAAGGTTTAGTGTCAAAAGCAGACTCACCATTAGCTAACATCATAACTAAAGTCAGACATTACCACTTAACTGTAGCAATACTTATGCAAACATGGCGTTTCCTTGCTTTAAACATAAAACGTCTCATAACTGACTTCGTTATCTTTCAAGGTTTCTCACGCTATGATATTGAACTCATTTGGAAACAGTCAGGTATAACATTACCTTTTGAAGAAATTTGGGAAGCATATAAGTCTCTCATCTCTCCTCGTTCATACCTTGAGATTCATATCATGACTAATACCATTAAAGTCAAAAATATTCCATGGGAACGACCAACATTGTTTTAAAGTTTAACCTTCAATTGACTGATGGTAAACAAATTCCATGCATCTCTGTCGCCATTTCTGTTAATATTTTTGCTGTCATTCATATCATCCACTTCCCCATCCGTTAGCTTTTGAGGATATGTGTTAGAATAGCTGTTCTTAAATGAAGGCTTTTCACCTTTGAGAGCATAAACTCTATAACTTTCTGCATACTTTATGTTTGAACCTCCTGAGCCATCATTGACATAAATTTTTATAGGCTTCCACCCTTTGTTCATATTCCTGCTTCTTCCCTTAGCTCTTTTGTTCAGTAGTTCTACATCTTTATACACAGCTCCTGTCTCAGTGAATTCAACAATATTTTCATTCGTTAGCTTTACATTCAAACCCTTGTCGAGTATATTGTTCATTTCATACATATAAAAGGTTTTTATTCTATATGAAATGAGAAGCAAATCCATCTTAGCTGGTGCCGTTAATGTTCCAATTGAACCAACATCAAATGTTGACTCACGAACGACAAACAATATTGTCATAAAGAACTATAGTTCGGAGTGTTTGAAAGAAAAAGAACCAGATCTTAAGTCGGGAGGGCTCAAAGAGCCCATCTTGGAGCATGGCGCCGTGAATTTAAACACAGCTTCAAACGCTAACGCTACATCAGATGTTAAGTTAGAGTATCCACCACTGGACCAAATTCTTTCAAGAGAAGCCAACGACAACCCTTACACAAATGTTCAAACAAATCCTTCAGATAACGTAGACCATTACCTTCTTCAGTTATACCAAACAATTTTACTCAAAGACGATAAGAAGCTTTTGACAAATCTTATAAGTAAGAACCAAATAATTCTAACAAAGGAGGACCTTGAAAATGTTATCTCACGAATAACAGGGAAACAATGTGTCATTGACTATCTCGACCCTGAAATCGAATGCTGTGGTCAAACTCCACTATTCATGAAAATAGGTAACATCCGCATCATTGAAACACCAGGAACTACAGGAGTTGAGTTTAAGTATAAATATTCGAACGAGTATACAAAACTATCTACTTACTATAAGCTTTGCTTGAAATATGTTTTAGTAAATTAAAGCAACTTATAGTATCTATCCAAAACTTCTTCAACAGTATCGAACTCATCTTCATAATGCAAACCTAATCTTATTGACTTGGTGCAGTTTTCACTAACACAATATAGCGCTTTGCGCTCGGCGCCTTTGACGCCTTTTTCTGTTCTCTTGACTGGCATAACTAACTCATTTGTTTCATCAAACAGCAACAACCAAAGTTCATGACCTAATACATAACATTCATACTTTATATTTTTAGCTCTGAGTTCTCTTGTAAGCTGTTGCATTTAATATTTTCTAAAAAGTCAACTTCAACAGTCATTCGCACTGGTGCCTTCAGTTCTACAGGCTCTCCTTGAAAGTCAACAAGTCTGAATTGCATGTCTTTCAAATTATGAGGACTAATGCGAACCCATTTACCTAAATGAGTTGCTATGACAGGAACGTTTGGAATGAACATTGAATTGACTGCATAACAGAAGGATTTATATTCTACTGAACCTTTACTATTAACTCCTGAAATACCTGTGACATTAGCTATTTTTGACTCAACGTACAAACAATTACCATAACATACGTATGGAACAGATTTCATCTCAATCGTTTTGTCAACACTTTTCAAAGGAAATGTCATATGGTATGCTCCCAGAAGAAGTTGTACTCTATGACTCATTCTTGGTATCTTAAACTCCTTCGCATAACTGAACTTCAAAACTCCTGCAATAAGTTTAACATTCATTAAGTTTTCTTCGTTATCCTTGTTTATTGTAGTATTTATGAGAGCATTTAACACTCCGGCTAATGTTTCCATCTTATATTCTACATTATTGTGAAATCTTATTTCGTGCTTCTTTCCATCTATTTCAATCTCCATGAAATCTGTTTCATCTGTTATAACGAATGAAGCGATAGTATTGAAGTCAACCATTCTGAATGCAAGTGGCTCATTCTGTAGACCTAAGTTTGTTTGTAGCTTTACTGTCCCGTATTCGTTTGGGTCTGTACTTTGCAAATAGAACAACATTTTATTCTCATTAAAATATGAGTATAGCTGCATATGCGTATGAAGCTGACAGAGCTAAACGTTTATATTTTGGTCAATACTCTCTCACACTTACTGACAAATATATTGTTATCAGTGATGGAAATACCGAGAAATACATAACATGGAAGGACTATGAAAAGTTTGACCCTATTTTAACTCCATGTACAATGCCATTCATTGTAAATGGTGAAGTTGTCATGAAGAACGACACAACAGTATATAAGTCTGTATATGAAGCATTAGAATATATGTTGAATTATAATCCCGAAAGATTTGACCCAAGCACTACACCATGTGCAATGCCTTTTATTAAGGACGGTGAAATCGTAAGAGTTCCGGATTCAACGGTTTATACTGCTGTTCAAAACAGTTTACAAAACATTTTAGCGAATATCTTTAATTCAGAAACTACAGAAATAAAATTACCATATATAACAGATGCTAAAGAAATTAAATCAAAAACGACAACATTATTTACGTCACTTAATGATTTAATGACTTATATCATTAATATTCCTGCACCAACTACAGCATTTGATCCAAACTCGACGGTTTGCAGTGTACCTTTCATAAAGTCGCAAACGGACTCTTTGAGTCCTGAAGGTCTTTCAGACCGAAGCGACCAGGGCGAAGCCCATGACAGTTCATTAATTACTTTAAGGGATTCAACAGTTAATGAATCATTAAAGGCGTCATTAATGAAAATCATTGATTTTAACTCATTCACGAATACATATAATTCATTCATTAATGTTTCATATGCTTCTAAAGAAGGTGAGCCAAAAACTATCGATAAAGCGGTGTATGAAATAAAAGCATCAACGACGAAATTGAATTCGTTAACTTTTGACGGTGATAGTTTCGTTAATGACATAACATCGGGGAAAACAATTTTAACGAAAGAATATTTAAAATCTCATGTTAGTGAGTTCGTTGAAATTGAAAAAGAAGGTGGAATTAAGTTCGATCCACTGAATTTCATTTTCAGCTTAGCGAATGCGGGTGTTAGTTTCGCTGAATGGACAACTATACAGAGTGAAATAAATGCAATATGGACGTTTTTGGGGTCAAAAGCGGGAATGGGTGAGCTTGTAAATGCTGCAAGAACATTAGGTGAAACAGGAAATTTTGTAGATGGTTTTAAAAGACTTGTTTCAAATGTTTTAACAAACACAAAGAAATTATTTAGATATACCATACATAACGGACGGATTTTCGAACAGGTAGCAACAAACCCTCCGGTTATGGCTGCGTTGATGATGGTTAGAGATATAAAACCACGTAACGACGGGAACGAAGAACATGAACAACAGAGCCCAACGGGCTCAGAGCCACATAGTGGCGAGGATACTGGTCGGGTTATTCGAGACATTAAAAACGTGTATCCTGAAGTTATTGATTTATTTAGAGGAGTTAATGATTCAATTTCAAAACATTCTATAACCCTCGATGAAGAGAATAAATTAACAGATTATATATTCGTCATTATTGCAGAACTAATGAAGAGAATAAATGAAAAAGGAATTGGTGATATCATTAATGTCAGCGATGTAATGATGAAAAGAAATTTTGACTCATTATTTACAAAACCGAAAACAGAATATAGTCTTTATGACGTAATTACCGAATTAATGAAAAAGATTAATGATAATAAGAGTTCTGGCGGAAGAGTTGAATTAGAAGTGAATGATGTTAATGAGAAATTAGCCGAAAAAGCAGATAAAAACCACGTTCATTATATAACTTCAGACGAACAGATTATAACGGACTACCATGGATATTTAACACGAAGTGATGAAGCGAAGACAAAAAATGTTAATGAAAGAAGATATAAATACATTCGTGCTAAAGGTTATGACATAAGCTGTACTGTACAGTATGATGTAGCTAAAGCACCAGAAGCATTTGGTTATACCGGTGAAATTTATGCCTCTACTTTCAATGTTAACGGTGTATTAGTTGAACCAAGATTTATGTTAAGAGTTAAGGCAAAAATAACGTTTGAAGATGCTATTAAAAGTAAAGCTGACAAAGTTGAACTCGAAGCAATGAACAAAGTTTTGAAATCTCATAAACACAACATCTCCGATATAAATGAACTTCAAGCTACATTAGACAGTAAAGCTGACAAGAACCATACACATAAATCCTTCACTACTGTTAGAGCAGACGACATAATATTGAACTATACCCTTGGTTCAAGTGCACCATTAGAAAATCCAAGTACAAGCGTAAAAGATACACTAAACTCCTTAAATAACAAATGTATGAACATTGAAGGTCATGTCAGAAACTTTGAAACACATGAACTACCAGCAATGTTAGATAAGAAAGCAGATAAAACTTATGTGGATGCAGAACTAACAAAGAAATTTTCGAAACCAGATACAATGACATTTACAACAGAAATTATAAATGGTGAACCAGCAACTCCATTTGAATTTGTTAGAGGTCTTCAACCAGATACTTTTGAATTTTTCTTGGATAATTCTATTGAACTAACATTACATTATAAAAGTGGAACAAATGCAACATTTCATCCGGGAGATACATTCCAAATGGTATTTAATGACATAAGTTCTTTAGAATATGTTTATAGAGTTATGAGCATATATGATTTAATATATCCTATAGGAGCTGTTTATACGTCTATGAATCCAATAAATCCAAACACTTTATTTGGTGGTAGATGGTATGAAATAGTTGACAGTTTTCCATTCTACACTAATACGCAGTCAATGAAGATGGGAGGTTCAAAGAAAATAGGTATTGAAAACCTTCCTTCACATATGCATAGGTTCAGTGGAAGAACATCTGTGGAAGGAAACCATTCACATTCAATAACAAAAAGAGGTTATACAAATCTTGCAGCGGGTTCGGATAGACAGGGAATGCATAGATATGATATCACAACTGACCCAGTAGATTCAAGCACAGGTATTTTCTGTGGAACTGCAGGAAATCATACACATGTTGTAGCTGGTATTACAGACCCAGCAGGTAATGGAAAAGATTATATGCCTCCTTATATAACAATACACGCTTGGATACGAGTTGGTTAAAATCTTTAACTTTACATAAATGAGCTTGAAAGAAGTATTCGAACAACATCCATGGAGGTCATTTAAGAAATTCAATGAAGCTGCAAAGAGTTGGGGATTTACTAACAGAGCTGAAGTGAAAAGGTTCTTTGACAAAAATGTTGTACATCAAACAAAAATAAACCCTTACGACTACTTTTTACCAATTTACTCCAACACTCCTGACGCATACCAATTTGACACTCTCATTCAAAGCAGAAAAGGAGGACATAAACCATTCCTCATCTTCATAAATGTTAACACTCGTAAAGCATATGCATATCCAATGAAAAATAAAGGAACTCGTGAAGTGTTAAGAGTTTTACAAAAGTTTGTAGCAGAACATAACCCAAGTACTTTAACATCAGACCAAGACAGTGCATACCTCAGCAATGAAATCACAGAATTTCTCATTAAGCATAACATAACTCACTACACTACTGAAGACCATAACCATAACATACTCGGCATCATAAACCGCTTCATAAGGACTCTCAGAGATTTAAATCAAGAGCGAGACTTTACCGAAGAAACAATGAAACATTTTCTCGAAGTATATAATTCCTCAACACATTCTACAACAGGACATACACCAAATTCAATGACACAACAACAAGAAGAAAAGTATATACAAAAGAAACGAAGCCAAACACAAAATATCAGAAATTCAACACAATTTACCCTCATTCCTGGTACAAAAGTTCGTGTAGTTCTTGACGACAAACCGTTGACAAAGAAACGTTTAAGGTTAAGTAGAAATTATTATATCGTAGACTCTACACAAGGTAATGGATATCTTATAAAAGCTGCTGACGACTCCATAGCATTTTACCCTCGACATAAGTTAGTCGAAAGTAGTAATGGCAAACTTGCTGAAACCATTGACGAAGCAAAGCGAGGAGTGGTTATTGAAATACTTGGCTACAACATAAACGATGACACTTATAAAGTAAGATATGAAGGAGGTGTTGAAGATGTTATACCATCTAAGAACTTGAGAGAGTCAAAGCCAACTCATCTGGGACCATTAGAGCGGGAGTATTGGAAAGACAAAAACATGCCAGAAAGAATAAGAAAATTCTTCTAAACTTTTTCATTAGATGTAAATCAGACAAAAATATATTATAGGTGAAGAGGTGAGATTTCACCTGTTTTCTCACCTGTTTTTTCACCTCTTGAATTTTCGTGAATTTTCACAAAAGACCAAAAATAAAGTTAGTTTTATTTTTTTATTTTTTTATTTTGTATGTAAGAACAGAAATGTCAGTCGAAGCAAAAACATTCACGAACAAATCTAATGGTGAAACATTCACAAAAGGCACTTATAACGGTATTGAAGTCTTACGTAGAGACAAGGATGGTTACATTAATGCAACAAAGATGGCAAGAGAAGCAGGAAAGTTAAACCATTTAAACAGATTTCTCAATAGTGCTAAAATGCAGGAAATTCTTGAGTTTTGGTTGAAAGAATACGGTCGAGCCAAAAGTGGCTCAACCTCAAAACAAGCATTTTATGAGCTTACTAAGGGCGTTATGAATGAATTCAAAGGTATTTACATACATCCTGACCTCGTTCATTTTGTTGCTGAATGGTGCTCTGTAAAGTATGCATTTTATGTCAAAGATATTATGGACTCCATAGACAAGAAAGTTCATGAGAAGTTAGATGAAGAAGAACTCGAAGATACAGTGGAGAATGCTAAACCTTTGTTCGAAGAAGAAGTTGGAAAAATGTGTGAAAAACAATTAGAACATGAACGTGAGATATATTATGGTTATAGAGATTCTCCATACGAACTAGACCAATGGGAACAAGAAGATTTAAAGAGAGAATTTAGAGAATATGAACTCGCTAAGATAGCATTTGAAGCTGCAGAAAAGAAGTTAAAAGTTTGGGGTCGTTTTGTACAAAAATATTGTGAGTAAATGAACCATTTATTTTTATTGAATTCAGTAAAAATAATGTTTAGGTGAAGAGGTGAGATCTCACCTGTTTTTTCACCTCTTTTTTCACCTCTTGAATTTTCATGAATTTTCCCGAAATAAAAAATAAAGTTAGTTTTATTTTTATTTATTTTTTATTTTGTATAAAAGATATGATTTCAACAATCGGCACAACAACAATTCAAGCCGCGAACGGCGGGACTCTGTCCACAACAACAGCACCAAACTCGTTAGTCATGAATCCAACATCTATGTTAGTAGAAATGAAAAACTTCATTCCTTCTTCATATACTTTTGAAACAGAAATACAAAAAATTAAGCAGGAACTTTTAACAAGTAATTTAGACTGTAGTGCGAAAGATGAAACAAATGAACAGTATCTTTATGAAATGCAGGACATTATTGACCATTTGCCTAAACTACCTGAAATCCAACAACAAAAACTAACTATTCCTGAATTCGACGAAATTGAAGTCAAAACAACTGACTCAGTAGAAATAAAGAAGTTCATACGTAAAGTAAATTATGAATTCCTTGGTTTTCATTGCAACCATAAAGTTATGGACAAAGATTGCGACATGGTTTATAAGAATGTTTCTGACATATATAAATCTGAGGAGTTTAAGACTTACGATAACTTTGTTTCATTAGTTGCTGAATGTGTTTGGGAAATAAGAGATAAAGATAGAAGAGGCAAAGTATGGAACGAACAACTAAGACCCGCTATGTTTGAGATGAAGAGAGCAATTGACGCCTTAGTTGTTTTAGCAGGTCAAATTTCAATGTATAACGCAAAAATGAACCCGCAATGTTCAAAATGTAAGGCAGCAATTAGGAAATATAACTACTCAGTCAAAGAGATAGAAAGAATGAGAAACGACTATGCAGATTTAAAGAAAGAAGTAGAAAAGCCAGCAGAAGATAAAATGGACATGTTAGCATTTCTGAACAAAAACTATCCAACAGCAGAAGATTTCCTTCTATCTGACGTCAAGAAGAAGTATAAAGAAACCTTCGGTATTGTTAAAACTTTTGATATCCTCAGCGAAGAAATAGAAGCTACAAAACTGTTTAGGATTTCAAATATACATCGTACAATTCATGTAAAACGCTTGTGAAAAAAAGAGGTGAAAAATTAGGTGAAAAAAGAGGTGAAATCTCACCTCTTCACCTAAATTATATTTTTGGTCATTTACACTCATTTACGAAGAAGTCATGACAAAGCATTTACGAAGAAGTCATGACAAAGCATTTACGATGAAATCTTGACAAGGCATTTACGAAGAAGTTATGACAAGTCATGAGGGTGAAATCTTGACAAGGCATTTACGAAGAAGTTATGACAAGGCATTTACGAAGAAGTTATGACAAAGCATTTACGAAGAAGTTATGACAAAGTCAAGACCCTTTGGGTCTCGCCGCTTAGCGGCTGAGGTGAAAAATTAGGTGAAAAAACAGGTGAGATCTCACCTCTTCACCTAAATTATATTTTTGGTCAAAGCTTCCACGAGAGAAAAGATTCCTCATTCGCTAAGGATTCCAAAAATGAAAAAATCGTTGATTTCGGCTGAGAAAAAACAGCAAACCCTTCTTCCACGGGAACAAAGAAATAAAGAAGAAATAAAGTAAATTTTTTATTTATTCCCGTGGAAGATAGAGCACTTTTATGACACTTTTTATTCACGACAAACAAGACAAACAAAGAAAATAAGAAAATACGGCGCTGTCGCGGTTCGAACCACAGACTCTGACCCCTCCATAACACCACCTTAGACCACTGTGCTACGTAGCCTGTCGACATAAGATTTTATAAATTGCATATTTGACGTAAATTTATTTCCATCTAGCTTCCCACCGCATAAGATATTCATACGTGTTTGTAAGACATTCATTAAACTTCTTTTCTATTGCATCTAATCTTGCGTTATTTTTTTCAATAGCTTGTCTGTATTCTTCATCATCTCCAGCAGTGTTTGGGTCTTCACGTTTAAAATATTCATTGTTAACCAATTTTTTATCTACAAATTTTATTAGTGTTTGATTCACTTCGTTATGATAACGGTCATATTCTTTCAATACGTAAGTGAAGACAAAATGCGTCGTACCTTCAATCTTAAAGCTTAAAGAACTTTCAACACAGTTTTGAGGGTCTGTCAGTGCGTCAATGAGATAGTATTCGAAGTCAGTCAATAATCTTTTTAAAGTCATTTCATACAGGATAAAATTTAATGTTGTGAAGAAATAGTGTTTATCTCAAAAAAAATAAAGTTAGTTTTTATTTTTATTTATTTTTTTATTTTGTATGTAAGGACAGATATGTCAACAACAGAGAACACAACAACTGCTATCGTTCATGAAGTCATAAATGAAGAATATGAGTACATACAGTATAACAAACAGTTACGTCTCATTCGTTCTGTCAAAGACGACATGTACCAAATGCAAAGTATTTTGACGGCTTGTTTTGCTCCAGATACTAAACTTCCTAAAGACTGGTTTAGGAACCAAAGCACACAAGAACTTTTGAGCGAAGCACAGCGAGACGTACTTTTTTCTGAAAACAGTGAAGAACAGCGAGTAGGTAAAAAACCCCAGTCGCCAAAACTCTATGAAAATCGTGAAAATTTGCCAAACGGTTTGAGAGGATATTATGTTCATAGACTTCTCGTAAATGTTGTAGCAATGTGGGCTTCACCTCGTTATGCTTGGTATGTTTGTAAACTTCTTGACGAAATTCATAGACAAGAACGTGGAGAGATGGAAAAGAAACTTCAAGCAAAAGATGAAGTCATTGAATCCAAAGACAAAAGCATACAGAAAAGAATACCACGTTCAGTACCAAAAGGAAAGGAAAAGAGTTATAAGTATATGATATATACTGAAGAGTTGGAGAAAGAAGAAGATAAAGATATGGTTATGTTGCATTTAGTCAGAAGAAACAACAAAAGCTTTTATGACCTTGCTAAGATTTACAAATCTGACAGAAACTGGTTCTATCGTGAAAACTTACCGATTTCAATGACACCGAATGAGCAAATAAAGGAAATTGTCAAAAATACTCTTCCTCAAACACACTATGACATCAAAGGTTGCACAATACTTACATTCAAAGAAGACTTAACATTACTGAAGGAAAAAATAACAGAATATTTCGATAACTTCAAAGAGGAAGAATAAAAAAATCTAAGCTAATTTTATTTTTTTTATAAAATTTTATCTCATATGAAAGAACATGAATTTAGAATATTCGGAACTCATGACAGAAGAAGAGAACGAACAACATGTAAAAGATTATGCAAAATTTCTGAAGACATACAAAGCATTTAAACAATATCTAAATGCTTCTAAAGATTATGCAAAATTTCTGAAGGTATATAAAGCTTATGAAAAAGCGTATGAAAAGTTTATACACTGGGGAATTGTTGTAAAATATCGATATGAAGACTAACCAAAAAATATATTTTTGCTTAAATGACGTCAGGGTCAATTTCTTCAACCATTTCACTTCCTTCGTCAATGTCAATAGAAGCTTCTTCAACCTTTGGTAAGAACTTTTGTATAACATCTTTGTTCGTTATTGTTTTCAGAGATGAAGAATAATATTTCACATTTGTTTCACCCTTCTTATATTCTTTCTGTTCGGAAAGATTCATAGCAATACTGAAGAAGTCAATGTTGGAGTTCTTTATAATAGTATAATGAGTATCTTTGACATTCACGAAGAAACCCTTTTGTTTCAAAACTACTGCTAACTCTTGTGAAGTATAACGTTTGCGGTCAATGACAATAGCTAATGGTCTGACATACTGACCAAACTTAGATTCTTTCACAAACTTCTTGTTAAAGATAACATTGACGTTTGAAGCATTATTGAACTCATTCTTGATGACAGTAGCGAGAGCATTGTATGAAAAGAACTTGCAATCTTGCATGTGTTTCATTAAAATAAAAATATTAAATTATTTTGAAAAATAACTTAAAAAAATCTAATCTAATTTTTTTCAAAAAATATTTTTTATCCGATAGAAAAGATGACAGAAAATTAACTTTTTACATAGCGCCAGACCCTTCTTGCCCACATCTTTTTAAGCCACAATAATAGTCATAGAACTAAATAGAGAAAGCGAAATTCTACAAATAGAAGAAAGCGAAATTCTACAAACAGAAGAAACATATAGAGACCTAGATAACGAAACTGGATATGCACTATTCTGGTTAGATTGTCCTTATGAAATGTATGAAAAAAGGCTTTATATGAAGAATATAGAAAATATTGTCATGAAAACAATATAAGACCAAGCTCTAGAGAAAAATTCTATGCTGGTATAAACATCTTTTCGAAGTTCGGAATGGCAATATAGAAAGAAATAATTTTTCTAAGTTTATTTTTTCAAAAAATATTTTTTTTATTTCCTACTAAAGATGTATCGGAAGTTGTCTAAGTTAGAACACTCGGAAATAAAACAACTTCTTACAGAAGCTAATATAGATGTTGCAAAGCATTACACAACAAACAAAAAGGCACTCGCTGACATCCTCAATGACTATAATGGTGAAATAACTTATGATAGAATTCATGAGTTCATAAAGCCGCAACGCGGCGAGGACGAAGTCCATGCAAGAGCATTTCCTTTAAATGACGTTGCTATTGACTTATATCATAGACATTCAATACCTCATGAAGTAAGAAGAGAAATGTTTGACATAACAAATGCAAACGTTGGTCATACTCGTAAAAGCTCTTTCACATGACGTTCGTCAAGAGATGTTTGACATAACAAATGCAAACGTTGGTGAAACAAGAAGAGCTGTACCACATGAAGTAAGAAGAGAAATGTTTGACATAACAAATGCAACGTTGGTGAAACACGAAAGAGAGATGACACACTGAAACAACAGAGAAGAGAGATGTTTAAAAGTGCTATAGAACAAGTTCGCAAAGCTAATAATGTCATTCGTTCCATTGACGACAAACCAAAAGAAGGTGAGAGATGGTTAAAGAAAGATGAAGAAAATAGGAAGAGGAATGTGAAGTCAGGCAATAGACTCATTGACTTTAACATCGAAGCTTTAGATGAACCAAACAGAGACTACTTACACAAACATTTCGGTAAGGTTTTCATGAGACTCTTTAGAGAAAATTAAAATAAACTCCCAACAGAGATGGATGGTATGTTATAAACTTGGTGGAAAGTATGAATGTTCTACGTTAAACCTCAATAATATTGGAACATTACTACATCAGCTCTTGAAGGAGAACTTTATATCAGAGATAGAAGCAAATGCTGCAGGTATTGTTGAAATGCACTATGACTTCTTCTTGACAAACATAAAGAATCTTACGAAATAAAGATGTATGATTTAACAGAATATGAAGGCTTAACGATGTCAGATGTAAAGAAAGGCAAACCAAAAAAGAGACCATATAGAGATGAAAGCACACTGACAAATGACCAGAAAGCCATTTTGGAAGCTCTTAAGCAAACAGGAAACCCAGCACTTATAGAAAGCTTTTGGAAAGATAATGGTGAAAAGAAGTTTTATAAGAAGAGAAGCGGTCAGTTCTGGAAGTATCTTTGCACATTACCTATAAATCTTGAACGCTACCAAATCTTCAATGAACTGAACAAAAGAACTGCAACACTTATGACAGAAGATAACTGCTTCGTTTATGCTTGCATTCAGGCTGGAGTAAATGAAGAAACTATTGACCACATGAGAGAAGTCATTCGTGTTAGAGACTTTCCTCAAAGTAAAGTACAAGAAATTTCTGACGCAACAGGTATAGCATTTAATGTTACCATTGGTTACTTCAATGACTCAAGACATAATGAAATAAAGAGATACATACCAAAAGAATGTGAAACTGTTCGAACTATTGACTTACTTCTTGTTGAAGACCACTACATGCTAAATGAAAGACTTCCAATGACAACATATTTCATTCGAAACTATATAGAAATCTTGAAGGAGTGTGGTGGAATGAACATTGAAAACAGATGAAATATATACAAGAGAGAAGATAAATATGTAGTTCGCATGATAGAACTACACCGCTATGGGATGTTATGAAAACATTGTGGGAGTGCAAATATTTCGAACCTATTTCTTATGGAGA